TGCGCCCTTCGCCCCTATTCCTTTCCCCTGCTCCAGCTTGTCCTTGATCGCCTTGTATTCGATCATTACTTTCTTTAGCACACCGGTCCGCGTCAACTCTTTCACGTGTCGCAGCTTATGCTTTGTCATGGCATACTCGTCCGGAAGGGCATAGAGAGGTGAAGAACGAACGTTTCGTTGACAGTTAGTCCTTTCTCGGTTAAGGACTTTGCGGTTTGGAGCATCTCATTGAGGGCGTTTTGGGGGTTTTCACCTCCAGAGATCTTGGTCGACGTCAGGGACTTGAGGTCCTCTGACGGCTGTACAGATGATTCAGGGTCGTGTATGGTCTTGAGCTCACGGAGTGCTCCCTGGGGCGTCTCTGCCCGCTTCATGATTTTCCGATCATTTTCTTTCAACGCGTGAGACAGGAAGTTCCACGCGTGGAATGCGAGCTCTACTTGATCGCTCCGATACTGTTGTGACAGCGAAAACTTGCTCTTTCCGCTGTTGACGGGGATCTCCAAGCTCCCGTTCTCTTCAAACTGTTCCAACAGGTTTGCGCCATTAGCTGCCATGCGGAAATCATTTAGCCATTCGTTGAAATATTTCCATTTCCCGCTGAACGGAGAAGTGTACCGCACACTTTGGTACCCCATCGCTGGGGTTGTGGCTCCGTATCCAAAGCCAACAGCAGCACCACCAACTCCCATGGCACTACTATAATCTTGGTTGTGAGCAGCGGCTACTCTCACCTCTTGGAGGACAAAGCCCCTTGCTTCGCCGTTATGTCGCCCTGACGGGCCAGATNGCATCGCCGCGATCAGCGGCACCCTCCATGGTGCCAGCTGGCTCCTCCTTTTTGCTTGCTTTCATGGTATCTTCCACTAGTGACAATAGCTGGATCATCTGATCTGTCAGCGAGCAAAATTGCGTCCTCAGGGCCACGAGCTCTTTTCTTGACCTCTTTCTGTCTTCCGCCGCAGAGTCGCTGGAGGAGTCACCCCCATCTTTGCGACCTGACATTCCTAATGGACTCTCCCTCGAGGGACTGACACTAGTGTGTTCGTATATGTCCTTTACTTGGAAGGGGAAGAAGTTTTATCTCTTGTATTAGACACGCAAGGGGAGTAGGGAGAAGAGAAGCCCTCTTTGGTAGCTACTCTTTGGAGTTCGAGGGGTCCCCGCACATGCAACCATTTCAAGGTGTAGATATGCCCCATCTGCGTGCCCTCTGTTGTTGCCGGTAGATCTAACCAGTCCGTATCCAAACACACGAACACACACAACGAAGGCCCTTGCAGCTTTTGAGTCCGTCGGCGTCGCAAACGAATAGCCAGTACTTTCGATCTTTTGCGACCAGAAAGCAAGGTGTGCTGCGTGGCACAAGTGTCAATCCTCGTACAACAGCACGTTGGATCGTAGTGCATGTCTTCGCGTAGACTACACGGACAGAAGATCTGTAGTCTAGACTTGACTAGCTATTTAGTCTACTGCAAGCCATGCATAGACGGTTGTTGTTGTTGTTGTTGTTGTTGTTGTTGTTGTTGTTTTTCTTCGCATTACACTCGTGTCAGTTGCTAATCCCAAAATCTAGCAAAGACTCGGTCCGTGGTCACAAAAATGCTAGAGCCATCAGAAGATCTAAAGAACACACATACTTTAAGCAAGGAAAGGGTACGCAAGCCCGAGGAGGTACACCTGCAATCCCTGCAGCACGTTTGCGTGCTCACAACTGAACTACACGCCCACACACTACAAATCGACTACAGCAGCAGCGTCACCCCCCTTGTCCCTCATTTAACCAAAATGAATGTTTGTCGACTACAGCGTACTGCTGTCTGAAGTGCTGTCTGTACAATAATAACACCATGGTGCATGGTACACAAGCTCGGGGCATGGAGCTGCTGTCTGTCAGAACGAGTCCGTGGACATACAATGAAGAAGAACGCCCAACCAAAGCCATCATTGCACTTGACAATCACCCGAATCTATCCAGATCATCTGTGTTAGGCACAGCAGTGTAAACATCGACACTGACTAGGAATCGTTCCACATTGAAGGGGTCTTCCACGATGCAGGTACACAATTAAGGCACCCGGGTTATCCGCGCCGTCTCTGCCGCGTCGCTCTACAAAACCAGTGACGTCATCAAACACACCCAACACCTGTATTCAGGAAAAAAACGGAGAAATAATTGACAATACAAGAGATGTTTGTCCGTGCGCCACGGTTCGATGCCGTCCGCCTGCTCCGGTTCCGCTCCTCCGGTGCCGCTGCTCCGGTGCCGCTGTGGCCAGTCCTAGCACGACCAAGGTCGACCCGCTCCGCTTCGTACACGCTCTCGTTGCTGTCCTTCCCAGTCGGTTCCTCGCTTTCTCCCTCGTTGCACTTAGGGTTCTTGGTCTGAAATATCTCGCGCCGAAGGGTCAACCAGCCCAATCAGCTCGTCACCACCTGTCCCCTCCTCTTTTGATGGCAAAACCAGGTTACTGAGGCAGTACAGCTCCCTCTAGCAAACCTAGGGCCGTGTACATAGTGCCCGTCCACCTTCCTGATGACGTCTGCCTCCGCGCACAAAGACGAGTTGGGCATTGCTGCCTACACCGACGGCCTGGAGGCCCGCGCATCTGCACCTTTATACCTGACGCACCAGTACCGACCCAACATCACCACTACGCACGCCTCGCGGCGGGTGCGCCGCAGCAAGAAGGTATCGGTCCCCTGAGGGTGAGTCTAGCCCTGTTCGCTAGAAAGACCCCCCCCCTCGCTAGGGGTCATGCCTACGCAAAACCTTGCCGAGGCAGCGAGGGGAAGAAAGGATGATACTACAGCAAATCAATCATGATGATAAACTAACCGAGAACAAGTTTTAGGGAATGCCGTCTTGCGTCAGCCTCGGCTGGCCTAGGGAGGCTTGACACCCATGTCTCGAGGGTAACGTTGTAGACTAGCAATGAATGCTTGTACGTAGGCAGTTCTATGACGATTTACATTCAATGTGGGCACTATGAAAACAACTGCACCAACGCTCTCGTGACGTGCGTGACAAGCAACACAGCAAACTCTGCTTGTTTCTCACCTGGCGGGGTCCACAACAGCAGTCTCCTCCGTCCAGCTGCGAACGAATGTCATCGCACACAAGTCTTCACAAGCCGTAGAAAAATGCGGGGCGTTTGTTGCCTTTTCACGCCCGATGATGGATGCTTTAATAGAGTTTCGGAAGATTTGCCTAGGCCTGTCCTCCATCGGCCGTTTTGCTTGTATGACGGAGAATAAGAAGGTGGAATTACTTGAAATTAGTATAGAAATAAAGTCTGTGTATCTAAATCGAAAATAAAACGGCCGATGGAGGACAGGTCTAGATTTGCCGGAAAAGTTCACTTTCATTTGTATTGGGAACCGCTCCTGGGAAAGTTCTTGTTCATACAAAAGTTCATTTTTAGGGGAAAAAAATGTATATAGATGACGTGGACAGTCGTCTCGTGGTGATTGGTGTAGGTCTCGCCGCATCTAGGCGCGGCGGAATACAAGTTAGGCCGCGTGTTTTTTTTAATATCACAATATCACACACCCGAGAGGCCGACAGGCGGGACACATCCCAACGGTCGCACCGCGAGCACGCTGCCGGCGTCACCAGCGCCCACAGACTTCCCCAGGGCCTCCCACCATGTCCCGCCTACGCATCCGAGATCGAATTGCTCGCAAGAAGCGAGCACTGCTGCTGATGCAGTGGCAGCAGTCCTATAGCCTATACACCAGCATGTGGTTCGCTTCCCACGTCGCGGTCATGTACACTCTGGGTCGCCTGGCCATCGATGATATCCCGACCGGTGCTGCACGGAGGGACGAAGACAACTTCTTCAGCCCTCAGAATTGCGTGGAGTTTATGAGGTTTACGCGAGACCAGGCAATTCTATCTATTGAGTGACGTTGGTAACGCTGGTGCTGTGTTGCTGCTGTGTGCCTCCTGTGTGTGCCTGCTGCTGTCGGGAGTGGACAAATGAAGACAGATAGACCATGGCCGCACACAAAAGACCGCGAGTTGTGCTGTGACGAGAGCGACACCCGAAGGCACGAAATGCACACAGCAAGGTTGAGTGTTTTGTCAACGAACGGCTACTGCATGTATTTTGACAAACACTATCATGCTGCTTCGGATCTTTTTGTGCGGCAGATCGTACTCATGCTGGAACTGCTCATGGTGCCTGCCATCATTCGGACAGAGTGTGGCTTTGTGGTGGGCGGACGAGAGGCTCTTTGCGTGCTGCTGTACCGACTTGCTTTCCCGTGCCGTTTGAAGGACATGCGTCTGGTTTTCGGCCTGAGCGAGTCCTGTATCTGCGAGACTTTCAACTGGATGCTACACTTCATGGATTTCAAGTGGGGGTTCCTCCTCTCGCTGGACGTTCAACGGCTGGTACCAAAGCTTCGTACTTTTGCGGAGGCGGTTTACAACAAAGGTTGTCCCCTGACACACTGTTGGGCCTTCATCGACGGAACTGTGCGCGGTATTGCAAGGTATGATCCGGAAGCCGTGCCCCCGTTGATGGGTGGTAGTTGTAAAAAAGCACTTGGGTGAAACGGCGTCATGTATGTCCCGCTACATTTGTATGTCTACTTTGGCGAACGGTAGCTAACCGCAACAACCACTCGTACGGGTTCACTTTTACGAAGAAGGAGCAAGGTGGGTAACATCGACCCCTAGACTACAGGGAAGATTCCAGAGGTCCTTTTGACAACACTACGCAAGAAAATGCACTCCGCTATATGCGGCAAACCTCACGAAAACATTGTCGGATGCAAGAAAATAGATCGACCACCCCGTGCGTCATGTTGTCGACGATGTTTGCGTCTCAGGCCTATACGCAACCAGCGCTTTTTCTACAACGGGTACAAGAGGAAGCACGCTATCAAGTTCCAAGGAGTCGTGACGCCAGACGGGCTGTTTGTTGACCTGTACGGCGCAGAGGTTGGAACGAGGCACGACGGCTACTTGCTTGCGCAGTCT